AAAGTCTTATAATTGAATGTTTGGTCATTATTTAGTTAAAATCAGAGCATTTAATATGCAGCTAAATGCAGTGAAGCTTTAAAAACAGTTTATTTATCCTGGTTGGTTGTCTTCGTCTAAGTGAAGGATGGTAAAGTCAGAAAGGTAACATGTTGGCGTTTATTACTTTTGAGGAAAGGAAACAGGTTTATGAGAGGCAAAGGTCATGTAAATCATGAACACTGTAAAATCAGAACAGACTTCACTGATTGGCTTCATGTCATAAATCAAATTATTAGGAATCTGAGAAGTCTGAGGAAAACACAAAGTCTCTCTTGATAAATTTTCTCAGTAACTGGAGGCTTCAAGCACTAAAAAATTACAAAATCAATTAATGTAAAAATATGACAAGTTCCAGTGCAGAATGCAGAGGGAGATACAAATTAATGTTAATATATAAAGTTATTATCCTCCTTATAGCACTGGGTTCATTTATAAACCAAACTTAGACAAAACCCGATGCTTTATGCTGCAGAACAAACTCAGTAAAATATTCACATTTCTGCTGTCATTACATTCATACAGAGGAAAACAGAGCTGCATCGTTTGAGATGAAAATTAAAACTGTAATCTTGATAATTCAGTTTCTTTTTTCTTTCATGACGGAACAATTTACAAGTTTGAGAAGATCAGAAAATCTTAGCTTTGGTTCTGTGAGGGCGTTTTACTCCAACGACAAACATGATTATAATTTTAATGTTTTCTCCAAACTGCATTTGACAGCTTGGTGTTAAACTTTCAGCTTTGCTCTCATTTTACTCACTGAGACTGTTTTCACTGGGCATTTAAATTGCTTATTTGCCTGCCTCAGTGCTTAATGAGTGCTTGCATCAGTTAGTTATTTGCAGGCATTTCATTCTAATCTACATAATGCATCAATTATCAGTCATATTAAAAAAGAATAACAGTACTTAATATTGTAAATAACAACAACAGAACAAGCTCTGTTTGCTAAACGAAGCATAAAAGTTGAAATAAATACCTACAGACTTTAAGAGCTTTAAAACTGTGTTGAAGTGCGTCAGTGATTTATTCATTCTTTATTTTTTTGTGTTTTTAATGAATGTGACGTTGTGTTGATCTCAGGGTGAGGCAGATCCGTCCAACAGAAACACAAAAATAATGCTTATAAATACTGAATTAACATGAGAAAAAAGCTGAAACACAGCGGTGCCTGGGTTCAAAGTGCTTTCATTATAGATGTGAAACGTACGGAAGCATTTAGCTGCCAACCGCTTAGAAATAAATCCAGGTGTTTATCACTAAAATAGAACATTTTCACTTTAAAAACAGTTTCTTGTAGAAATCAGAGTTTGTTGTTAAAATAGGAAATATCTTGACAAAATGGGAAATTTCTCATTAAATTAGTTTTTTGTTACAATTATGCTTTCCGTTAAAATGACAACATTTTGGTTAAAAAGAGTTTCTCACTAAAATGAGAAAACCTTTTAATACAACGTATGAGAAACTACCTTGTTATGAGAAACTTTCTCATCATAGCAACAAGTTTTATATCCTGTTAAAGCAAGAAAGTTTCTCATTTTGATAAAATGTGAAAATGTTTCTTTGACAGATTAAATAAAGCGACTTGCTGTGATCTAAAAATCCCACTTTGTTGTTGCTGTTTTACTTAAAACAGAAGATACTTTGGTTTGAATGACAGATTAATGTCATTAAAACATGTTTTTAAAATCTTAGCACGAGAAAGTTTGGCAGTTAAATGCTTCCATAGAAATGGAAAGCGGTCTGGATGAAATGGAAATGCAAAGAGATTCATTCAGTGTATGGATGATAATTCCTCGTTCAGTCAAAAACACATTTTTTCTAAAGGTTATGCTTCTTAATGTTAGTTCAGAGAACTATTGGATTCATTTAAATGCAGCAGGAAGTCCCGGAAACAGCAGGACATAAAATGGATGCTCACTTATAATTAATAACATATAACTGTAAAAATCCCCTCCACAAGTGGAAATTCATAGACTTTACCCATTCGTCGATATCTGGCATTTAATTATTTCCCCTCAGATAAACCACAGCTATCGTAATTTCCCCATCTCCCTTCAGGAGTGTAGAAATCCCAGCGCTAAAAAAAGCATTCAGTACAAAGTGAATATTTTCATGCACCGCTGTAAGTCAGGGTTGGAGGTGATTTTTTGAAGAAGATTAGAATTGAATCTGAAAGAAAAGGAGAAGAAGGAGCCCCACAGTGATGATTAACTGATGAAAATTCACAGGAGCGTTAACCTCTGGAGCAAGGCGCTTTGACGTCAGCTTCAGCATCTCAGTTTGGACCGGATCTGAAACACAAGTGGGTATGCAGAGTGAGGATTTGCAGTGAGCAGATCTGCAGTGTGTGCAGCTCAGATGGATGGTGGACATAAAGATTACCAAACAAAACAAAGCAAAGTTTTAATTACACTTGTTCTCCGACTGCTCTGCTGCTAATTCCCCCACTGAGCAGCTCTGATCCCCGTGTTTCTGTTAAAATTACAAAACGCTTTAGAAACGCCACCATTCTGCTTTCTCTTTCATTTCCAAACTATCTACAGTAAAGCTGAAATTAGATCTCATTCTGTGAACTGGTTTGCTGAGGTTAAGCCCATTCAGTTCCTCTACTGTACCTCCCCTCAGTTAAACATAAACATATTCCGTATCCATGGTAACGTCTCTATTAAACAGATACATTTGGTATCCATGGAAACTGAAATCTGGTACGTAGGTAGATCCCCTTTGCTCTTGATTAAACATAAACATATTTGGTAAATGACATAAAATTCAATTCACTTTGATTTAATTCAAAAACACCTGATGAATCCCAATCCTGGATTTCCAGTAGCAGTCAGTGTTACACCAACTCTGTGTCTCTGACTAAAGAACTGACTGTCAACATGCCAGCAGCTCAATATCTGAGCAGCAGATTTGGTTAAACAAGTCCTGGACGACACCGTCAGTTAGCAAGCTCTGCTAATCCACCTCGTTTGCTTTTGCCGCTTGTCTCTAAATCTCTGTCTGGCCGTTTGGCTAAAGTCAGGCAGAGAGATGTTGGAGGAGGGATGTGATGTTCCACTGAATGCCATAATGGATGTAATAATCTTACTGGGTTCATTTTTGGGGTTGAAGTTGATCCATTTTGTTTGCATAACGTTTCTTTTCGCTCGTTATACGACGGATGGAAGAGATATTCAAACTTCCTTCTTCTCTTTCGGCTCTGCATCCATTAAGCCTCTTTTTTCAACTCTTCAGAAAATTGGGGTCAAAGTTCAGGTATTACTTAAAATAAACCACATTGTTGACATGGTTATATATGATAGATGTCAAAACCTAAAAACATTAGAGCAAAAATCACCCCAGCAGCTCAAACCAGAGGGAATAATTATCCAAAAATAAAAGTTATGAATAAAAGTCTAGAAAAGGAACAAATGAACCAGGAACAGAGCGGTTCTAGAGTAAAATGAGAACATGATGTTGAATCATATAAGTCTGTCTGTGTTTTGTTTATGGCAACCATATTGCCTTTTAATATCAATATATTTCACTCTATGAGTTATAAATGTATATAAAATGAGTTCTATTTTATACGTTATGGTTATTAAACGCTCCACACACTGCCACCTTCTGGCCGCTGCAGGCTCCGTAAATTATAATTACCTGCTTCAGATGTGACGTTCTGCTCTACACTTAGAAAATTACTGACTGACATTAAAGAAATGATTTAATATTTCAGGTTTACAAACATGAATTGTGTAAAAACGCCCAATGTTCCCCCTCAGATCTGGTAAACAGACTCTCAGTTCCCAGTTTCTCCTCGGCTCTGCAGACATTTGGACTCTTTTTCTGCCTTTGACTTGTATCAGGCGGCTCATCTTAAGCTCTGTCCCTTCGCCTCTCAGCTCCCTTAGTATATTCATCTCTCCAATCACTGCTCCTGCCTGCTGCCCTGCTTTTTCTAGCTGCCATAGATCATCACTGCCATGAGCATCATCCTCTCTTGACTCGGATGGTAATTGCCTTTTTTCTCCCTCTCTTGCCAACAGTCCTGCTCCCATAGGAATCAACTGATTCTGACAAGAAGGGAGCAGAAATAATTTTAATAACCAGACTGCTTAAAGGGACACAGTCAAAAACAGACAGCAGTATTTTGGCTTACTTAGCCTTTCATAAGCTTTGTTTCCATTGACCACATAACTGCCCAATTTATTTTGCTTAATGGAAACACGGATGAGATGGATTTTTTCTTTGTTTACTTTTTGGTTTATTTTGCAAAACTGCAATGGAAACACTTTTTTCATCACATGAGTCGTGTGATCAACAACTGGATGTTATTACTGGTGGAAACCATGAAGAAGATGACAACAGGAAGTAGTTAGAGGATGATGGCGTGGCGTTTTTTTATGACATCATGTGAACAAACTTACTCACATGTGATTTTAATTGTGTTTCTTATTTATTGGAAACACTACAACTGTGAAATTGTGTTTGTTCGACATGGAACGTTTGGTGCCGATTGTCAAAAAAAAAAAAAGAATCAGAAATTTATAGATTAATCTCAGAAATTTTCTAGAAAATCAAGAACATTTTTGAGCTTGAAAAGCTGCGAATTTGCTACAAAACACACAACAAAATTTAAAAATCTTGGAAATTTGCAAGCTTTGTCTCAAAAATTTCTGAGATTCAAGTTTTTTCTTACAACTTTTCAACCTTTAAAACCAAGAATTTTTTTTTTTTTTGAAAAAACAAGGAATTTCCTGAGATTTTTGGCTGAAATGTACTCTTTTTTAATTATTATTTTTTAATTATACTTGAATAAGTGGCATTTGAAATTGATCTTATATTTAATGTGTAGTATTAGAGTACATTTTTAAGTACGTTTTTTAAAGGGAAGAAAAAACGCTGGCCTCTACCAATGGTTGCCTCGAAGACCGGATAACGCTTTCTGGTTTCCACGGCAACCGTTGGTGGGTGGGGTCGCGCGGGTAGCTAACTGGTATCCATGGCAACCAAAGTTGTAGAACGCCAGTTGGCACGAAGCCAGAGCGAAGCTGCGGAGATTATTTATCCTGGAAAACATGGCAGAGAACGTAAAGGTAGCCGGTCAGTTTCATGGTGGATCGGAAGTAAGAGTCCCCCAAGCCCTCTTTTTTATTATACCACTGTGAAGGATTCCTGCGTGTGTTTTTGTGGGGTCGACTGTGGCGACAGCAAAGGACGCAACGTGGAGAGGCTAACAGGCTAACCATGCTAATGCTAACCACCCAGCAGGCAGCGCCAGCTGAAAAAGCCCAGGAGTTAAAGGCAGGTTTAATCAAACAGCAGTCTTTCTTTACGAGTTTAGTAAAAATATGTAAGTTGATTTCTGTATGTTACATTATTGTAACATTTATCTTTGCAAACATGGTGCAACGTTGTGAACAATCTGTTAAAAGTCGTTAGCTTGAAAAGATGATCATTTACAAATGTAAACACTTGCAGAGATTGATAAAAAAAAAGTGTTGCATATTGATATTTATCTGTTTCCTACCTTGTTAAATCATTGATTATTGTGATGAATAATTAACATGGTGTGTTTTTACATAGATGGATATCATTAATCGTGTGATTAAAGGTAAGTTGACTTACATTTATTTCAGAAGTGTGTATCAAACTGGTGTCTCTTTTCATTAATATATACTCTAACAAAGTAGACAGTTCTAGTAGTTTCTAGAGGAGGTCTCTAGTGCATATTTTAGTTTTTCGAGAGCTCCTGTAAATACTGGGGCATCACTGTATCTACACTGGCCCTATTTTATACATGTGAACATTTTTTTTAATCAAATATATCAATTTGATGTACGGAGCTTACATCATTGTATTCTGTTTTTACCTCAGGGTAAAGTGAGCATCCCCATCTACCTTTTAACACAGGAGTTTCATCCTTCTGGTAAGTTTGAAAGAAATACCATAATTCCAAAGGACGCCAGCAAAACTAATATGTGTCAGATGAAATGCTGCTGGAATAAACTGTTTTATTATTCATGATACGGGCATATAAACATGATCCACAGTAATTCTCATTTTAAATATTCATCAGGCAGAGAAAAAGGCTATTTCAGGTAACTTGGGTAAAGAGGACCAGACAGATTTTTGTGGTACACCAGTGAAAATATGCAGTTATTCTCCTTTTGGTGTTTAATTTGAAGTATATTTATTTGTAAATGTACTTTAACTTGTTAGATTGCACATAAGTGAACTGCAAGAGGAAAGCAAAGAAATAAGAATGGCATGAAACTGAAAAATTTACTTTGTATTGACCGAACATTTAGCACAAGGATGCTAAACATGATTATGTTGTTTTTTGGCATTAAAAAACAGCTCCACATTTTAATTTGAGCATGTTTATTCAATGGGGAGAAAAAATCCATGAATGACAAAATAATTGTTGTCAATGACTTATTCCACCCCAAGACGTCAAGGTCATGGTGGCTAAGAAAACATTTGGACTGAGGCGGACTGCTCCAAAGTTTTCAAGTACCATTAAATACAAGATTAGCCTCATGTGATTATTAGCCTGGCGCTAACACCACTAGTAGCACCTGTCAGCATTGGCTAGAACTAATTGTCTGGTGCTAACTGCATTAGCTACAGCTAGCGCAGTTAGCAAAGCTAACAGCATGAGGTAGAACTAACCATTAGTGGAGCTAACAGCATGAATGGGAGTCAATGCAAAATCAAAAGAATTTGGAAAGTAATGAATGGGTGTTTAAAGTGACATAAAACATTTTTAAGTCTTTGTAACAAACCATTTTAATATATTTCAGAAAATGTTTTGATCTCAGTGCTAACCGCAAGCAGCTTGAGTTAGAAACTGGAGCTCTTTGCAGCCTACGCTCTCCGTCTGGGTTAGCATCTTCAAGCAGCAGCAGCTTTTTCTCTCTCATCTTCCTTCATTTATTAATCCCCAGTTCAATTTCCCCTCATCATTTCTGTTTTGTCTTCGATTTCAACTCTTTCCAGTTCAGACTGAAAGTCATGAAAGTTACTCAATCCTCAGAAATTACTGTTGTGATTTTACGATTTGGCGTCGCAGCACCTAGCATAAGTCCTCTACCCAGAATGCATTGAAACGTAAACAACATGGCAATGTGCGTGTAAGAATATTTTAATTAAGCTTATTAAACTAATCTACAGTATTTTTACTGTTGTTTTTACATCTGAAATTAATATTTCTCAATATTTCTATTGTTGCTAATCATGGATCCCTTTAAGGCTTTTTGCATGTTTACCAGGTAGGATAGAGTCTGCAGAGATGTTGTATTTCTAAACCACCATCATCAAAACAATATACACATCATGTCCTTAAACAACACATTTTAAATATTAGCACCAGACAGCAGTGTTTTAAATTTCATAAAATAATTCAGATTTAATTATAATCCCTGATTTGAATCACCTCAGCTCTTCCCGGGAAGGAATGTTTCCATCCCTGCAGCTAAGCTTGATACATTTTTGCTTCAAAGAATATTTTTCTGCATCCGTCTTTATCCAAGGTAGCAATGTTGAGTCTATTGAATTATGACAGAAGGATCTCCGCTGTTTTCCACTCATACTGTTGAGAAGTCTTCTCAAATAATTCAATCAGGTCATAAGATCAGAGGATTTTTGTCTCATTTCCTGAGACGGTTGGGGGCCTTTTGGCCAATCTCCAGCAAACAGTTATGTGCTTATTAAAGAGAAATGACCTTTATACCACAAAGGTCTGATTGGAAGACCACAACACTGAAGATTTCTTTCTGTACGGCTCAGCCAGGGCCACAAAGAAACCCCGAATCTAATTCAGTTTGGTCGGCAGCTAGTTGAGAGAATCTGCCTGTGGTTCCAAAGTTCTTTCATTTTCAGAAATCCTGGGGCTGCTCTGGCTTTTGATGTGGTAATTTCAACAGAAATAGCAGGCTTTTGGACAAACTCTGGAAGCTGAAAGCCGTTGACCTGTCTGCCGCCTCGGCCTCGCTCTAAATAAACACGTCACTGTAGGGAAAAGGTGCTGATGACACTGCTTGACTCTAAATCGTCCTTACATTGGTCCAAACATCGAGTGAAGCAGCAAACAGTTTAGATTTATTGGGTGTGTACATTTAATAAACATACGTGGACGGATGATACAGGGAACAGCCATCTTGGTTGGTACTATAGCTAACTGTCATGACAGTTGCTATGGAGTTGCTATGACAACAACAAACAAGCCCCAAGTTTAGAACTAGCTATCCTATCTAACTTATAAACGATACAAGTACATTTCAGCTACGAGTTCTCTTCCCACCTCTGTGATAAACATCAGTGATGTTTACTGTAGTACTTACTGCTGAACTAGCAATATTAGCTTAGCTAATGTTGCTTTTATTTGCTAGCTAAGACTGACATGTAGCCTATGTGTTTGTTTACTCTGTCACCGGAACCGTGATATTCACACAAAGTTCATACGTCCTTTACAAAGCAGTTAAACAGTCATTTTACACATCCATGGATTTGTATGCACTCTTCATGTTCACTAAGTAGTTAATTATGTCATAGTAGGAGATCAGAGGCAGCTCGTCCACATCGTCTGACATGGTTTCCCTCTCCGCCTCATACGATCTCGACAGCAGCCATTTTGTTCATGTATCTTCCTCTAAGACTTTGGTCAAGAGCGTCCACATAGTTTCTTTTTGTTGGTCTGGAAGCCATGGGTCATCTATGATTTGCGCTTGCCTACCAAGATGGCGCAGATCACGTCCAGTTCAGACTTGTAGGAACGACGTATGTGTAATTGAGGAAAGTGGTGCAGGAGAACTGGAGTTGCTGAATCGTGCTCCAGATGCTCATCCTGCAGATTACCAGCAGAATTGATATTCCTGGACTTGGAAGAACATAATTTTGGGGGGGGATTTTTTAATCATTTATTATTTTATCTTTTGTTTTTACCTCTGTTACAATCCTCCTCACTGGACATGTAGGAAGATAAACACAAAGGTGGATCTTTGTACGATATATTAAACAACAAATTATGAATTATTAATTCAAGGTTCCTAAGAAAAAGTGAAATAAAAATTAAGAAAATGCTTCAGTTTGCTTTGTTTCACAGGAATTAGCTGCAGTTTTTGCCAAATAGTGTGGAGGGTGCCGTATCTAGGATTCCCAGAAAATCTGACCTGATATAAACTCCTTCTCTACTTCTGAATATTTTCTGTATTTCCTGGTTCCTCCTCTGTTTTTCCTCTGCTTCGTTTCTGGGCTGAGAAATTCCTGTTTTCTGAATAACTGTGTGTTTCTGGTAAAGTAAGAATGTGTGAAGTCACAGTTTCCTGTCATTGTTCCCTAACAAGAATCCAGCGGGAACACGGCGTGGTTACGCTGCTTCATCATCCAAGAACCGTCTGCGGGGTTTATTAATTATCCAGTAGGCAGCATGTCTGATGTCTTTGACTCGAATGAGAAAAATTACTACAAACTGGGGGACAAGTTGCATTTTCTATCCACCCAGCCTCCTGGGACTTCTTATGTGTGGATTTTTAAAGGTGAACTATTACAGTATGCGACCCGGAACAGGCTAGAAAAGGTCTACAAGTTAAACAAAACATGTTCTCCACAAAACCATGAGCTTTTCTTTCACAATGAGCTGTTTCAAAGCTTCTTGTCACTTTGAATCCAAATACTCTGCTGCTGGCCATGCCCCCCAACTCATCGTCTAAACTCGCACGTTAAAATGGCTGCAAGCAGATGAGCAATTATACAACTGTAGATGTTTGAAAAGCAGAAGTGGAGCCTCCTGCACAATCAATAAGTTGTACAGCACATAGAGCATAGTAGCTAAAACCAGCTGACCAAACATGCTGGAACTGCATAGGTTGCTAAGTAACAGGCAGAGCTCCACTGGGGTTGCTAGGTAACGGGCAGAACTTCACTTTCCTGCTGCTTTGTGATAAATTGTTCCAGAAATTATTGCTATAAGTGATAATGTTGTTTTGAGATCATTTCCAAATATATAATAGTAACAATGCAAGTACACATTCCAGGGTTTGCCCCAGTGTATTATAGGCCTGGCGGTCCGCCATGCTTTACTAGCGCCACCGCCAGGCTAAGCCTTTCTTTTTTTTTTTCTTTTAGGAAAATAAAATAAGAAAAAAAAAAAGCCTTTTTTTTTAAGCCGGACTGCAAGTGTTTCTGTTGCTCCGAGCGTTTCACTATCAGAGCAGATTTATTCCTAAAAGATATGTTTACAGAAGATATGTTTATAGTTTATGCATTTAAAGCCGGACCAATCACACCGCTGGGCCTCTGCGCGCTGCAGCAGCTGGATGTCTAAAGTTGACCTCAGCGCGGATCCTGCGCGCCTCGTTTCACTCAAACTGGACACAGGCTGACCGCTATGGATATTTACATCAACCCCCTGTGAGGAATTATGGTTGGTTATGAGGAGTTATTGATTAAGGTAAGAGTTTAAACCCGCCGCGTTAGCTCTGGTTGCGCAGCTCTGGTTGCGCAGCTCTTCACGAACCGCAGGAATAACTTGTAGTCGCGCTTTCAGTGGCGCATTGACGAGTGGTGAGAATGATGTATATTTGTGAACAGAACATTATGCGGCGCTTACATCTCAACACGCTGCCCAGCGTTTGGCCCCGTCTTCCCTGTAAAGTTTAGGTCTGTGGTCCCGGTTGGCCGGTGCGTTAGTGGTTAACGACCCAGCGCTAATCACTCATCGTGCAGGTTTAACCCGGTGAGGAGCTTCGCGCTCTCCTCGCAGTCACGCATCACGCTGATTTTATATTATTTTATTATTATTACTGGTATTATTTTTCTGGTTATGCTAAGCACCAAACCGTATCAAATGTTTTGCCCACTTAGAGTTCTTAAAGATCAATAAATTTTAAATTCTAATGAGCATTTAACACTGGAACTGAATGGCAT